GGGACGCGGCGGAGGAGGGAGGGGACGCGCGCAGGCAGGGATGCCCTGCGCTGATAGCGCTGTCAACCCCTCCAGAGGAGAGCGACTTACTTCCCTGACTGATGAGGACTGGTTTCTTCCCTCCAAGACCAGGTCTTGCCGCTCAGCCGGCCGCCTTTCAGGTCACAGCATCCCGCTCCATCCGGACCACGTTATCGCAAACTCCCTGTCTTCCTGAGGGACGTGAACAGTAAATGAACAGTAACTGTATGCCGACTGGGTGCCTGGCACTGTGCTGGTTGCTTCACCAGTGACACAGTCCCAGGCGACCCCTAACAACCCCGCTGCTGATGGAACTGAGGCTCCAAGCAGCCAGGTGGGCCCACTGCCCCAGCTCCCTCGCTCACCTGGGCGCTCTCAACGCACCGCCCCGAGGCAGCGTGGCCTCCTTGAAGGGGCACCAGGCTGGCCGCCTTGAGCTGCGGCTGTTTTGCTGGGTGACCTCAGGCGGGTGGATGAAAGATGTTGGGCCCCATTCTCTCATGTGAAGTGGTTTTTAAGGTTCCTTTCTGCTCCAGTTCTGTCCTTGGCCATTTTCCTAGCACTGAGGTGCCTACTGTGTCCTGAAGGCTGCAGTGGGACTTAGCCCTGTCCCCAGAGAATATCCAGTCTTGCTGGAGGGACAAACTCCCAAAAGGGTCATGAACAGTGAGCAACATGTGTGCACATGAAGGTCACCAGCATCACGCCATCCAGACTCTGGGCTTCTGTTGCCCCTTACACCCCAGTAACGCCCAAGCCTCTCTCTCTGGCTCCAGCCTCTGCTGAGCTTCAGACCCACAAATCTAGAGCATGTCCCGAACAGAGACCCTCATCTCTCCCTAATCTGCTCCTCCTCCTTTTCCTCCATCTCCATGAATTGGCACCATCACCTGAATGCCTCTCCTCATCCTCATCCCAAGTCTCCTGCTTTCATCTGCAAGGGACTGACCAAGCTTATTGCAAGAAACTGATGACCTGCTTCCCAGCCTCTTATTTAGTGTTTTAACTGCTTCACTGACTCACCATTGTGTTCAGGGCAGAGTTCAAAATCCTTAACCCATCATTCATTCAATTAATATTTATTGAGCACTGACTAGGTTGCCAGGGACTCTCCTAAATGCTTGGGATACAGTGATTTGCCACATAAATGCCTCATGGGGGTCTTCCCGGAGTTTGCATTGTAGTAGGCAGAAATAGATTATAAACAATTGAGAAATGCAATATATAACATGATTTCAGATTATGATATGGTCCCTACTCCTCAGGGGCATCATCACTACTGACATTTAGTTCCCCATCACATCATACCGCTTTCTACCTCTGTGTCTCTGCACACCCTGCTTTTGCTATCTGAACTAATAAGATTGATGATGATGATGGTAACAAGCATTTATGTAGCTCTTTGGTATGCTCCAGGAACTATTTTGAGCCCTTTAAATATATTAAATTATATAATCTAATCCTTATGAGGTAGGTTCTATTTTTGACCCCATTGTACAGATGCGGAAACTGAGGCACAAAGTGATTAAGTAGTTTCCTTCCTTCTAGAGATTTGGGCTACATCACTGAACAACACAGAGAAAGATGCCTGCCCTCATCCTTGTTGGAAAAGCCAGACAATAAACAAAATAAGTAAATTATATACAATATGTTTTATAGTGAAAATCCTACAGAAAATAATAAAGTAGAATAAGGAGGGTTGAAAATACCAGGCTGGGGATTGTCAGTCAAGAGATAATATTTGCTAAATAATGAAGACTCAAATTCCGTTCTCTAGCACCTAACTACACGACATCCCTTACCCTTAGGATCATACCTCAATTATTTAAGTTGTCAATCTTTCTTTTCCTCATAAAGCAATTTGAAACATTGGACCAATTTAAGAGATTTGGTGACAGTGAATTACCCTGCGATCAGCACTTAATATTCCCTGAACACTTTTTTCTCTTTACCTAAGAACTTTAATTAAAAGTTTTTTTTCTAGTTTTATTGAGAAATAATTGACATACATCACAGTAGAAGTTTCAGTTATGATGGTTTGACTTACATATACTGTGAAATTATTACCACAATAGGATTTAGTTAACATCCATCCTCTCATACAGCTACAATAAAAAGAAAAAAGGTAGAATTTCAGGATCACATGGCCATTCTATTTTTATTTTTTTGAGGAACCTCCATACTGTTTTCTATCTTGGCTGTACCAATTTACAGTCCCACCAACAACTGTGCACAAGAGCCCCTTTTTCTCACATTGACGCCAAGAGCTTCAACATTTAAAGATAATTTCAGCCCTGTTGCTTAGAGAAATCTTAACCCTTCTACCCACAGGGCCATCTTAGCAATTATGCCAATAATTTTCAGCTCTATTAAAACTTCACATCTTTATTAAAATGCATTAATAAACAAAACTAAAAGTTATATCTCTTGGATATAATTCCAAAGGAGGGAGCCAAACTTAAAGAGCAAAATGAGGCAATTCCAGGGGAACGTTTGTCTCTCCTGACACGACATGGCCACAAGGGGGCAGCAGACGGCGAGGCACGGACCAGCGCCATCCACAGTCACCGGGAAGCAGCAGCACTGATTTGGAAACAGCGCCCGCTGGCCTGGGTTTGCGTGAGGACTGTGCGGATTCATGGCTCAGCCCTACCTGCCCTCATCTGGAATTCTGGAATGTGCTGCCCAGCAGATGAAATATGGAAACAGTCGAACTATAACTTGAAAAAATAGACTTGGAATCCTGGCTTTGAATCATGGCTCTTTCATTCTTTTCAAATAATTAGTTACTGTGTCAGTAAATAGTCATTGACTATTATTATTCATTATTATTATTATTTAAAGGACAATGATGCCTACTGTGTACAAGGAAGGCACTATGCTAAGTACTTGGAATCTGATGATAACAGCTAATATTCATAGGATATCAGCACTATGCCAAACACGTTCATTTTATTCCGTGTTCCCTAGGAGAGGTGCACGCTTATTGTCCTCATTTACAGATGAGGGGCTAAGCCTTGGAGAGGCTTAATCACTTCCCAGGATCATATGGCGAATAAGCCAGGATTCCAAGTCCCACATTCCAACAGCCCGGGCTGTGAGTCACTTGGTATGATCTGTTCCGTCCCATCCTATCAAATGATATGGCTCCTGACCTTGAAGAGAGCAGTTCAGTGAAAGAAAAAGAGCTGTGAAGGGGTGAATGACAGTCCCGCATCATACGTGAGGCCACCAAGGTAGGCACAGGGCGTCCCGCAATCACAGAAGTGACGGGCAGAGATTCATTCTATGTGGTGGACATCTGGGAAGGCGTCAGCTGAGGAGGTGTTTTTGCTAGATTTTCAGGAGGCATTTTGAGGAGGGCGTTCTCCTCCTTAGCCCCCAACCCCTAATTCTAAAAATAGTAATAATAATAAAAGGAAGGGGGCTTTCCAAGCAGAAAGAACAGCATGTGTGTATGGGCCATCTGGGTGAATGACAAGTCAGGAGAGAGACTTGGGTTGGATCAGAGCGAGCCTCACGTGTCATCGTAAGAGCTGGACTTTCTCTCTTAGTCAAAGGTGAGTCACTGAAGGGCCTTCATGCAGACTTGGCATGCTCAGATCTGCGCTTTATGGAAAAAGACTGGCACAGCGCAGAATATGAGCTGGAGGGGGAGAGGACCGGGGAGCGAGGCCCAGTGGGAAGCGGTTTTTATAGCCCAGGTTGAAGAGGATGACAGTTTCCTCTAGAAGTCTCGGGGATTTGGGAGGAGAAGCAGCGTCTCTGTGGAGGGGGGTTAGGGGCACAGAGGGCAGTGGCTACCTGAGGGGACGGCAATGACCTTGATTTTGAACTCGCTCCATATGAAGAGCCTGTGGGACACCCAGGGGGAGAAGTCTGGCAGGAAGTTGGAAATGGTCATTGAAACTTTCCTCCTGCTGGATTTAAAATTAATCATTAAGAGCTATTTGCTGAACATTATATGCTGGACTTTGGGTGTAGAAAATTGGAGAGGGTCGTGCCTGATCCCAGGAGTTTGCGTCTGGGAAGGGGAGGCAGAAAGTAGGCATCTTCTCTGACCCTGGAGAGCAGCAGCCGTCATGGTGCGTGAAGCAGAGGCTTCTGCAATCAGACCCGCAGGCTCAGGGAAGGTGTCTCAGAAAGACCCTGGAGCTGGCTTTTGAAACATGCATCCCTCGGCTGATTAGGGAGGTGGTGGGTAGCAGTGATGAGAGGAGGGGACACAGCAGAGAGGCGATCCAGAATGCAAAAGCAAGAAGGCTTGAACAGAGGTGAATCTGTGAACCATGAGAGAGTTGTTTGCAGCGGGCAGGTGAGGGAGTAGGGAGCAGAGGCCTGGAGGCATGAACAGCCCACTCGAGGAGCACTTTGCTTGCTAAGTCAAGGCTGGAAGTGCTCTAGGGGGAGGGGCCAGTGAGTTTAAAGGTATTGGAGACCTTTTGCTGGTTGTGTGATTTTCAGGAAGTCGCTTAACCTCTCTGAGAACCAATACAGAACCCGTGCTGTATTGGTTTGTGCCTGACACCTGGGCGATGTCAAGGTCAGCAAAGAGCCGTTCTTCTTTATCTCTAATGTGTGCTACCACCTTCAGGCCACACCGCGGCTCCGAGACCACCCTGAATGTGAGAGGAAGGGCTAGCGGGAGGGGAACAGGCCTTGAGGGTGGTCTTGCTGGACTGAGGAGCCTGCCAGCCCCCCCGCCCAGTCACCGGATGTCCGTCATCCCCGTT